AAAAAAAAAAAAAAAAAAACAGCAGAAAACAGAGAAAAAGCTCTCCATATCCTCTCACTTTTCTGCCTAAAGACAGGACATACTTTCTCCTTTACTGGAGGCAGCTCAAGACTTATGAGCCCAAAGACGGCACGAGAAGAATCTACAACAAAACTTGCCCCTTTAGTTTCCTCAGTACGGTACTTACCTTGTCACAGCCCCCCACCTTTTGAAGCCTAAAACCACCTTCCTTTACCCTGTCATTTCCCCCTACATTCATTGTTCTTTGTTAAACCCTGATAAGACAGAATCCTAAGCCCTTGCTTTCAGTTACTTTTCACTGAGATTTCTCCGGTCTAATGCAGAAAGCATGGGTTCATAAACTTGTTTTCTTCTTGTTAATCCGTCTTTTATTACAGGAGTCCCAACTAAGACCTAAGATGGGGAGAGGTGATCTTTAGCCTGAAATACAAGTATATATGTATATGATATAGTTAGTGATATGCATGTTGCAGTATTTCAGGGCAAGTTTGCTAATGTTTGCAACTTTGAAACGCATCAAAAACTAAGACTGATGAAAGGATGGAGGGATTGATAGATTTGTTTTCAAATAACGAGAATAAAATGTGAGTAAAAAGATTTTCAACTGTTTGTCTGAAAATTTTTATAATAAAATATAGAAAAAAATCATTTTTTTAAATGCAAAAATTCTATAATAGTTGGGTGTGGTGGTGCACACTTGTATTCCCAGCTACTCTGGAGGCTGGGAGGGTGGGAGGATTGCTGGAGGCCAGGAGTTTGAGGCCAACCTGAGGAACACAGAAAGTTCCCCATCTCTCTAAAAAAAACAATTATAATTGTGGTCTGAGAGACTAAAACAGACACCCCTTTACCAAGTAAGATGGACCCTAAGGTTAAGGAAACAAAAGTCAGCTACCTGTTGAGGGTTTAGGGTACAGCTGCCATGGCAATTTTCTAAATTCGTACAAGAAAAACACATATGGTAAGGTACCATGGTTCATGCCTGTAATCCCAACACTTTGGAAGGCCAAGGCTAGAGCATCACTTGAGACCCAGGAGTCCAAGAGCAGCCTGGACAACACAGTTAGACCCCATCTCTTGATAAAAAAGAAACAGTAGCCAGTCATGGTGGCATGTGCTTGTAGTCCTGGCTACTCAGGAGGATGAGGTGGGATAATCACTTGAGCCTAGGAGTTCCAAGTTGCAGTGAGCTATGCTTGTGCCACTGCACTCCAGCCTGAGTGACAGAGTGAGACCCTGCCTCAAAACACATACACGCACACGATTTTTTTGGTGAGAATGGAGACGCTCATAATTTTTAGCTTACCACTAAGAACTAAGAGCTCTACATCAACCCGATTTTACTGTTTGTTCCAGGAAATTCTTGCCCACAAAGTTAGGCTACAGATCAATTCATACCTTCATTGTGAGCTTTAGGAACATCCCATTTATCTGGTTTATAATTTGCTCATCTAGCTGCAAAGCTTCCTTCTCAGTTACTGAGGAGTTGATCACTCAATTGGGCAAACTGCCTTCCTTGTCAAAAAAGGGGCAAAATCTAACTCCAATTTCTTTACCATGTTGGGTATACTGTCTTAAACTACTCTACTATGAACTATATCCAATCCCAGTGAAATCCCCATATTGAAAAGACCACCTTAAACCACTCTAACTAGACTACAGAACCCTATAAAAGTCACCCTCTGGAAGGCCAAGGCTGGCAGATTGCTTGAGCCCAGGAGTGCAAGACCAGCCTGAGCAATACGATAAAACCCTGTCTATAGAAAAAATAAAAAAATTATCCAGGCATGGTGACATGTGCCTGTAGTCCCAGCTACTCTGGAGGCCGAGGCAGGAGGATTGCTTGAGCCTGGGAGGTCAAGGCTACAGTGGGCTGTGATTGTGCCACTGCACTCCAGCCTGAGTGACAACCTGTCTCATTAAAATAAAAATAAAAATCACCTTTGCTGTTCCCTCTGAGAAACGACCAAGATTATGTCAAAGCGATGTTTTTTTTTTTTGAGACTGAGTGTCGCTCTGTTGCCCAGGCTGGAGTGCAGTGTCACAATCTCACTGCAACCTCCACCTCCTGTGTTCAAGCGATTCTCATGCCTCTGCTTCCCGAGTAGCTATTACTACAGATGTGAGCCACCATGCCTGGCTAATTTTTTAAATTTTTTCTATAGACAGGGTTTCATCATATTGCTCAGGCTGGTCACAAACTCGACCTCGGGTGATCCACCCTCCTCAGCCTCCCAAAGTGCTGGGGTTACAGATGTGAGCCACTGTGTCTGGCCACAATGTTTTTTTTTTTTTTTTTTTTTTTTTGGGGACAGAGTCTCGCTCTGTCGCCAGGCCAGAGTACAGTGGTGCGATCTCGGCTTACTGCAACCTCCGACTTCCAGGTTCAAGCCATTCTCCTGCCTCGGCCTCCCAAGTAGCTGGGATTATAGGCACACACCACCAAGCCCAGCTAATTTTTGTATTTTTAGTAGAGACAGGGTTTCACCATGTTGGCCAGGCTGGTCTCAAACTCTTGACCTCGTGATCCACCTGCCTCAGCCTCCCAAAACACTGGGATTACAGGCATGAGCCACTGTGCCCAGCCAATGTTCTTTTTTAATGCAGTAAAGACTCAAACTTGCTTAGTGACAGGTTATTCTGGTGGTCTTTGGTGGGGAGAGTTGGCAGTTACAGTGAAGAGAGTGCACAAACAACAAAGTTTGGGAAATGCTGGCTTCCCATACGTTAAAACAAAGCAAATCTGGGATGGTTAGGAAACTCCTTTTATAGTCCAGATTCAATGGCACCATCAACAGATTAAATTAGGTAATAGGGAAGGCCAGGGAGGAACAACAAAATAAAGGTGGCAGTTGGTTAAGAACTGAACTTCCTTTCTTGTCCTCCTCCTTATGCATGGTAAGCACAAGATACAGACAACTATGGGAACTTCTGAACTAGTCGATATAGTTACTTTATGGTATGTCATGCTGTAATTTATATTAACTTACCCTTATTGATCTTTAGATTGTGCCCAAATAATTGCATCTTTACTTGCAGGATAAAGTACTTAGCCTATATATAAAGGAAAGCCTCTGCAGCCCTAGCAACAATCTACCTCTAAAAACCTTCATTCTGCTTTATTTTTAGAGACAGGGTCTCGCCGTATTGCCCAGGCTAGAATGCACTGGCATGATCTTGGCTCACTGCAGCTTGACCTCCTGGGCTCAAGAGATTCTCCCACCTCAGCCTCTTGAGTAGCTGGGACCACAGGCTACTGGGGTCTATGTGCAGCTTATTTTTTTTTGTTTTGTTTTGAGACGAGTTTAGCTATGTTGCCCAGGTGGGTCTCAAACTCCTGAGCTCAAGCAGTCTCCCTGCTTGGCCTCCCAAAGTGCTGAGAATACAGGAGTGAGCCACCATGCCCAGCTTCAAGCTCTAAACTGCAGCAATATTTTAATCGCTGGTTTCCTTTGCACTCAGTTTCCTAAACTTGAAATCCCACTATTCCTCGGGCATCCTTGTCCACATTCCTAACCTTTCAACACAATATAGACCGATTTCCTTCTGGAAAGCCTTCTCCAGGCCTTCCGGGTATGGTTCCGCAACACCCTATGTATTTCTCTAATAGCATTTAGGCACTGCACTGCATGTTTGTTTTCAGGGGTCTCTTTCTCATTCAGTTTTTTTTTCTTCTCTATAGAACCACAAAGTCTAATATGCTGAGTTTCTTTTTTCTTGTTTTTGAGACTGAGTCTTGTTCTGTCACCCAGGCTGGAGTGTAGTGGCCCAAACTCAGCTCACTGCAACCTCCGCATCCCAGGTTCAAGCAATTCTCCTGCCTCTGCCTCCCGAATAGCTGGGTAGCTAGGTTTACAGGCGCCTGCCACTGTGCCCGGCTAATTTTTGTATTTTTAGTGGAGATGGGGTTTCACCATCTTGGCCAGGCTGGTCTCAAACTCCTGACCTCTTGATCCACCCACTTCGGCCTCCCAAAGTATTAGGATTACAGGCGGGAGCCACCGTACCCAGCCTAAGCTGAGTTTCTTGAGGACAAATTCAGTAACTTGTAGACATCTGATTCTCTAAGAGTTGTACAGTACCAGGTAAACTGTGGAGCTCAATAAAAGTCAAATGATGCTGGGCGCAGTGGCTCACGCCTATAATGCCAGCACTTTGGGAGGCCGAGGCAGGTGGATCACGAGGTCAAGAGATCGAGACCATCCTGGTCAATAAGGTGAAACCCCGTCTCTACTAAAAATACAAAAATTAGCTGGGCATGGTGGTGCGCGCCTGTAGTCCCAGGTACTCGGGAGGCTGAGGCAGGAGAATTGCTTGAACCCAGGAGGCGGAGGTTGCAGTGAGCCGAGATCGCGCCACTGCACTCCAGCCTGGGTAACAAGAGCGAAACTCCGTCTCAAAAAATAAAAGTCAGATGAACTAAACTGAAGAGGTGGGAGAACAGATGGACAGGTCAGGAAAAAGAATTTTTTTTCTCCCAAAGTGCTGGAATTACAGGCGTCAGCCACCACACCCGGCCAGGAGATAATTTTCTTTTCTTTTCTTTTTGAGATGGAGTCTTGTTCTGTCGTCCAGGCTAGAGTGCAGCTGCACAAAATTGTCTCACTGCAACCTCTGACTACCGAGCTCAAGTAATTCTCCTGCTTCAGCCTCTTGAGTTAGCTGGGATTACAGGCGCCCGCCACCAAGGCCAGCTAATTTTTGTATTTTTAGTACAGACGGGTTTCACCAAGTTGGACAGACTGGTCTCAAACTCTGACCTCTTGAACTGCCTGCCTCGGCCTCCCAAAGTGCTGAGATTACAGGTGTGAGCCACCGTGCCTGGCCAGGAAAGATAACTTCCAAGTATGAAATGTTGTAGGTTGGGAGACCTCAGTGGCTTGGGAGAAGTGCACAGTGGTGAGTTATAGGATGGCAATGAGGTCACAGAATTATGAGGTCACAGTTAACAACGCGTGCTGGCAAAACTGATAAGGGGCGGAGCAAGGGGTAGGACCTGGCGCTAGGACATTCGTGTTGGGGGTAGGTGGTTGGAGCCAGGCCCCGCTTTTGAGTTGTCTTAACGCAGGAACCAAAGACTGTGGACAGGGCCAGGAACCGTTAGGGAGATAAGAAAGGTGCTACAGCTCACATTCACAGTCTACGGCCACAAGGCCACGGGAACAGGCTGTCTCCTCACAGCATCAGCTTTCCCTTCGGCTTCATTTCCCTCTGGAGAGCGCTTACTCACCGACGCTACGGAAACCGAAGGGGCAGCCTCTGCCCTGCTACCCTCCAAGGAGCCACCACCCTAGAGCCCACGCTCTTCTGGACATCATGTCATCTGGGGGACGACTTGCCTTTCTTCTGAAACACGGCTACAGACTGAATTAAAAATACAGGCCCCATCAATAACAACGCAGCCGTAGGATTCCGCTCTCTCTCAGCCTCCCCGCCGCAGGAGAAGATGCACTTCCTCCCTGACAAAAGCGGCCGGAAGGGGTGGGCTTTCCACCTGGACCAGGCGCTTCCGCCACCATGGCTTTACGGGAGGTTGTTGGCATTTTCTTTCTCTCTGCTGTCCCCCTTGTGTGTCTGGAGCTCCGGCGTGGGATCCCGGATATAGGCAAGTGTTGGCTTTTTCCCTTCGACAGTCACAGCTGGTAATTTTCACAGGAATGTTGCATAGAATGACCAACTCTCCGGCTGCGTCGCTTCGGAGCAGCTTTGACTACAACTCCCCGACTGCATCGCCCGTGCCTCCTACTTCCGGTGCTGACTCCACTTCGCAGAACCTTTTCCCTACAGGTGTGATGGTTTTGCGTGTGACAGGACAGAGGCGAAGAGCATAATGGCAGTCATAACAGTATTTTCACATCCTCGTTAACACTCAAAAGGGAATAAACAGACTGATAGGATGAAGGCCTTCTAAGAATTTATTAGGCTGAGAGGTTTTTGTTTTGTTTTTAAATTAGAGACAGGATCTCACTATGTTGCCAAGGCTGGCCCCGAACTCCTTGATTCAAGAGATCCTCCTGCCTCAGTCTCTCAAAGTGCTGGGGTTACAGGCCTGCGCCACTCCACCAGGCTTTGAGATGTAAATAAGGGGCCACACCCGTGAAAATCCCGTGGGGGCAGGGAAGGGATGGGGGAGGGGAGTATTCTAGGCAAAAAGTTTGTGAGATGTTGGAGGAAAAGGAGAAGAAGGCCATTATGGCTGAATCGAGGAGAGTTGGGGAGAGGAAGAGGAATTGGCTCAGGATAATGACGTTTATTGAACACCTATTGTAAACCAAGCAGTAGGTACTGGTTATTCAATATGTCATTTAATCTACACTACAATCAGAAGAAGGTAGATCCCCCTTCCCCCCACCCCCCACCCCCAACGGAGTCTCCCTCTCTTACCCAGGTAGGAGTGCAGTGGTGAGATCTTGGCTCACTGCAATCTCTGTCTTCCAGGTTCAAGCAATTCTCTGCCTCAGACTCTCGAGTAACTGGGATTACAGACGCCAGCCACCACACCTGGTTAATTTTTGTATTTTTAGTAGAGACGGGGTTTCACAATCTTGGCCAGGCTGATCTTGAACTCCTGACCTCCTGATCCACCCATCTTGGCCTCCCAAAGTGCTGGGATTACAAGCCAGAGGTATTGCTCCTGGCTGGGTAGGCACTATTATAACCCCCATTTTACAGTTGAGGGAACTGAAATTTAGGGAGGTTAAGTGACTTCCCTAAGGTTTTAAAAAGGTAGCTCCATTCTGTATGGAGAATGCTTTGGATGGAAGCTATGGTGGAAGCAGTGAGGTACATCAGGCTTTGCAAGTAGACAAGTAGTGATGGCTTGGAGTAGGACAGTAACAGGAGTTAAAATGTAGACAGATTTGGGATATTGATGAAATAGGATCAACCAACAGGCTTTGTTGATGGGTTGATGTTTGTGGCAAGGGAAAGGAAGGATTCAAGGATGACTGCCTCATGGGGGAATTGAACAAACCTAGGTGGTTGGTAGTGCTACTGGTAAAGGGAAAAGGGAAAGAAAACTGGTGGAGGTGCTGAGAATCATGAGTTGATTTTTGGACATTTGAGTGATCAGTTTACATGTCTGTCTCCCTTTTTAAAATCAGTTCTAAAGTTAGAGACCATAATGAAACTGAGCTTTGTATACTCCCTTTCTCCACCTTTTCTCCCTACCCCCAAGGAGTAAGATGTCTAGAAATGTTGCCTGCAATAAAAAATGGGGAAAAAATGCTTTAAAAAATGTACAAAGACTTTCCTGAAGCTTCCCACTCACTCAAGCTGTGTTAAAATATAACAAGACCTTTATCCAAAGGATCAGAAATGTTGAATTCACACTTACCATTTCCCAAATTGACCTGTTCCCTTGTCTTTTCAACATCCACTCCTACTCTGCTCCTTTATTTTATTATTACTATTTTTTGAGACGAGGTCTTGCTCAGTCACCCAGGCTGCAGTGGCCTGGTCATGGCTTACTGAAGCCTGGACTTCCCGGCTCAAGTTATCCTCCCACCTCAGCCTTCTGAGTAGCTAGGACTACAAGCACCACATCACCATGCCTAGCTAATTTTTTTGTATTTTTTGCGGAGATGGGGTTTTGCCATGTTGCCCAGGCTAGTATGAAACTCCTAGGCTCAAGCAATTCCCTCACCTCGGCCTCCCAAAGTACTGGGATTACAGGCATGCGCCACCATGCCCAGTCAGAAATATGCTTCTTGAAGGCAGAGGCCAAATGAAATCTGTATTTGTATTCCCAGAACTTACCACAGTGTCTAGTTTAATAGAACTAGGGACAAGGGTTCTGGAAATTGCAACCAGGCTCCTGGCAGCATCTTTATCTAGTTCTTGAAATTTTCATGGAATTAGCTTCTTTCTCATAGAATTCTGAAGGAATGATTGTTTCATTTGGATTGTTTTCTTTTTTTTTTTTTTTTTTGGCTTTCTTTATACACACACACATATACATATTTTGCTGCTTTTGGATTCTTGATAGTGAGCTTCCAATAATTACTTGTTAACAGTATTTAAATCAGTTTTACAAATCATACTTTATAGCGGCAGCAGGGCTGGTTATGCCTCTAATATTCAGACATATATTGGAAAACTAGCCTTGTCTTTTTCTACTGTGTAAAAACCTTTATTGTCAATACATTTTGCTTATACTTAAGCTAAATTTTTTTTTTTTGGACACAGAGTCTGTCACTCTATCACACAGGCTGGAGTGCAGTGGTACAATCTCAGCTCACTGCAACTTCCACTTCCTGGTTTCAAGCAGGTCTCCTGCCTCAGCCTCCTGAGTAACTGGGACTACAGGCACTCACCACCATGCCTGGCTAATTATTTTGTATTTTTAGTAGAGATGGGGTTTCACTATGTTGACCAGGATGGTATTGATATCCTGATCTCGTGATCTGCCTGCCTCAGCCTCCCAAAGTGTTAGAATTATAGGTGTGAGCCACCATGCCCAGCCTAAATATTTTAAGGCTAGTTCATTAGGTTTATTATCAGTTGAAGTACACTGCTTACGGGGTCTGTAGTTAAAAAACAAAAGAAAACTCATTTAAAAACTTTTTTCTTGACAGATATACACACAAACCTAGGTGGTTTTTTTTTGAGATGGAGTTTCGCTCTTGTTGCCCAGGCTGGAGTACAATGGCAGGATCTCAGCTCATTGCAGCTTCTCCCTCCCAGATTCAAGTGATTTTCCTGTCTCAGCCTCCCAAGTAGCTGGGATTCCAGGCATGTGCCACCACACCTGGATAGTTTTGTATTTTTAGTAGAGACGGGGTTTCTCCACGTTGGTTAGGTTGGTCTTGAACTCCCGACTTCAGGTGATCCGACTGCCCCAGCCTCCCAAAGTGCTGAAATTACAGGTGTCAGCCCTTGCACCCAGCCGAATCTACTTCTTTCATGTTCTCATGTGATGTTTGCAAATTGCCTACTTGTTAGAACAAACAGCAGTAGTATGGAACTTAAAGCCCACAACTCAAGCTTTTGTTGTGCAGTGGCACAATCTTGGCTCACTGCAACCTCCACCTCCCAGGTTCAAGCCATTTTTGTGCTTCAGCCTCCCGAGTAGCTGGGATTACTGGTGTACACCACTACACCTGGCTAATGTTTGTATAGCTCGGGTTTCATTATGATGCCCAGGCTGGTTATGAACTCCTGAGTTCAAGCAATCCACCAGCCTCGGCCTCCCAAAGTGCTGGGATTACAGGCATGAGCTACTGCAACTGGCCTCAATGGTTTCTTTACATACCAATACTCTAGGTATTAAACTACATTTGTAATGGCCAGAGATAAAACAGATTAAATTATGTGTTGTATTGAATGACACCTGAATCAATGGTTAATACTGTCAATTTGGGGGATCTGTGAAATTTTTTTTAAGTCATGTTTCTTCTCTAAACAAATTTAAATTACTAGGGTTTTTAAAAGAATAATATTCTTTTAAATATTATTTAAATATTATTATTTAAATAATAATATATAATATTTAATATGTTATATTATTAATAATAAATATATTATATATATATTATATTATATATAATATATATAATATTAAATAATATATAATATTTAAATATATAAATATTAAATATTTAAATATTATTTAAACCCACATACATGGTGGGTTATGCCTGTAATCCCAACACTTTGGGAGGCCAAGGAGGAGGGATCACTTGGAAAAAAAAAAGAATATTATCTGGTGGCACACATCTGTGGTCCTAGCTATTTGGGAGGCTGACATGGGAGGATTGCTTGAGCCCAGGAGGTCGTGGCTGCAGTGAGCTGTGATCAGATGCTGCACTCCACCCAGGACAAGTCAGTGAGATTCTGTCTCAAAAAAAAAGCAAGAATAATATACATGTTTTCAGTTTGAAATAAAACATTTAATTCTGTATGTGGGTGTGTATGGTTTTTTTTTTTTTTTTTTTTTTTTGGAGACAGCTTCACTCTATCACCCAGGCTGGAGTACAAGGGTGCAATCTTGGCTCACTACAACCTCCGCCTCCTGGGTTCAAGATATTCTCCTGCCTCAGCCTCCCAAGTAGCTGGGATTACAGGCACCCGCCATCATGCCTAGCTAATTTTTGTATTTTAGTAGAGATGGGGTTTCACCATGTTGGCCAGGTTAGTCTTGAACTCCTTACCTCAGGTGATCCACCCATCTAGTCTTCCCAAAGTACTGGGATTACAGGTGTGAGCCACCATGCCTGGCCTATATGTATGTTTTCCTAATTCCATCTTTAAGTTTTAGTTAATTGACTAATTACCAGCCTTGATCACATTGGAAAGATGGTTCCTCTATATCTCTGCCATTTATCTTTTGAAAATTAAAAAAACGAGTAAACATTCTGAGGATGGAAATCATTTTTAACCCTGCTTTGTCTCCGGGCCCTTAACATTTGCCAAATTGTATTATGCAAAGTAGGTAATAGTTAGATTTTTGCTCAAATAATTTTTACTTTGGTTATTAAGACCAAATACTATATTTTTACTTTTTCCCAGGCAAGCATTTAAATCGTAATTTTACTTACAAGTGATTAAATGTCAAGAAATAAAGAAGCACACAATTGCACAATTTAATTGTGAGAAATAAGAATTTGGTGTTTCAGTGGATTGACTATTTATAATAGAACTAGAATTTGACATAGTATTTTCACAATTTTATTTCTACTTACATAATTTTCTCTATGTGGGAAACTAGAACTTATACATTACTGATAGTCATAATATTTATAATGTAGCTGATTGCTCTAATTTTAACTATATTTCTAAGTTAGTGTTTATCCTAAATTATGCTTTAAAAATTTGTTCTGCAAAAAATAAAAACTAAAAAAAAAAACAAAAAAATAAAATAAAAAAATGAACTCACAGGTTTGAAAAGAAAGCAAGTTTGTTCTGGAAATGACAACCATCATGAGTTTTTTAATGCCCAAGGAGAATACCGTACGCCGTCTGTACCCATGAGTTCCACATCTGAGGATTTAAGCATCTGTGGATCGAGACTGTTCAGAAAGGGCTGGGTGTGGTGCCTCATGCCTCTAATCCCAGGACTTTGGGAGGCCAAGGTGAGCAGATTACCTGAGTTCAGGAGTTCAAGACCAGCCTGGACAACACGACGAGACCCCACCTCTACAAAAAATACAGAAATTAGCTGGGTGTGGTGGTGCATGCCTGTAGTCCCAGCTACTTGGGCGGGGTGGGGGTACCTAAGACAGGAGGATCACTTCAGACCCAGGAGGTCAAGGCTGGGACCTCCTGATGTTCTCACCACTGCACTCCAGCAGCCTGGGTGGCAGAGCAAGAGCAAGAAGAGCAACACCTTATCTCTAAAAACAAAAAACAAAAACAAAACAGAAAGAAAGGAAAATATTCCAGAAAAAAAAAATGAATATAGCTGGACATGGTGGCACACACCTGTAATCCCAGCTACTCGGGAGGCTGAGGCCAGAGAATCGATTAAACCATGGAGGTGGTGGTTGCGGTGAGCCTTGATTGTTCCATTGTACTCAAACCTGGGTAAGAAGAGCAAAACTGTCTCAAAAAAAAGGGATAAATGGATGGTTGTTTGTGTGTCCGGTCCTGTACATGTACAGACTTTTCCCTGTCATTTTCAGTAAACAATAAAAGTATAGGGACCATTTATATAGCCTTTACATTGTATTGGGTACTAGGAGTAATCTATAAATGATTTAAAGTATGTGAGAGCATAGATAATATGCAAAAACCATGCCAAATATCAGGGACTTGAACATCTGTAGATTTTGGTATCCTCAGGAGTCCTGGAACCAATACCCCATGAATTCTGAGGGATGACTGTATATTAACAAAATTGTAAGACAGTTGTATAATTTTATGAGGGGTATCAAGAAAAATGTCTGGGGCTGGACGTGATGGCTCACGCCTATGATCGTAGCACTTTGGGAGGCCAAGGCTGGAGGATCACTTGAGCTCAGGAGCTCGAGACCAGCCTGGTCAACATAGTGAGACCTCATCTCTTTAAAAAAAAAAAAAAAGAAAGAAAGTTTTGAATTTTAATTTTAGGTTTTTTTTCCTTTATCAGGAATCAAGGATTTTCTTTTGCTTTGTGGCCGGATTTTTTTACTGCTTGCTCTTCTTACTTTAATTATTTCTGTGACTACCTCATGGCTTAACTCATTTAAATCTTCCCAACTTCATGTGAAGGGTAAGTTTATTATTTATGCTACCCTTTTAAACCATTCTACTTAAATTTCTTCATTCTAGAACTTAGAGTAATCATTACAACTTTAGTCATGATTTTTTTCTTTTCTTTTTTTTTTTTTTTTTTTTCTTGAGATGGAGTCTTGCTCTGTCACCCAGGCTGGAGTGCAGTGGTGTGATCTTGGCTCACTGCAGCCTCCACCTCCTGGGTTCAAACGATTCTCCTGCCTCAGCCTCCCGAGTAGCTGGGATTACAGGTGCGCACCACCATGCCTGGCTAATTTTTGTGTTTTTTAATATAGATGGGGTTTCAACATATTGGTCAGGCTGGTCTTGAGCTCCGCACCTCGTGATCTGCCCACCTTGGCCTCCCAAAGTGCTGGGATTACAGGCCTGAGCCACCACGCCTGGCCTCTTTTTTGTTTTGAGACAGAGTCTCGTTCTGTCACCCAGGATGGAATGCAGTGGCATGATCTTGGCTCACTGCAACCCCCCTCCTCCCACGCTCAAGTGATCCTCCCACCTCAGCTTCCTGAGTAGTTGGGTCTACAGGGGTGCATCACTGCCCCTGGCTAAGTTTTGTACTTTTTGTAGAGGTGGGATTTCACCATGTGCCCCAGGCTGGTCTGTAGCTCCTGAGCTCAAGTGATCCACCTGCCTCAGCCTTTCAAAATGCTGGGTTTACAGGCTTGAGCCACCTTGCCCATCCTGTTTTACTTTTGATAAGAAAAGTTTGAGAGTCCTAGAAGCCTTTTAAAATAGTACTGTGCTTATCCTCGGAACAGGTGAATCTTAAAACCAAAAACTACATATTTTCTATGCTATTAGGAGGAAGCTTGTTATTAGTGAATTTGGTACATTGTGTTTTACTATTTAACTGTAAGCAATATTTACTATTTTACTATTTAACTGTGAGCAATATTTAATGTATAACCCTTTCAAATTAACTATGAATAAAATCATAACCCTAAAAGGTTATACTGTCAACCCAAACATAAATGACAGTGTGATGCGTTAGGGTCTCCCAACTGTAGATTTTAGATGTTTTCTTTCTTTTGGTAAATTATTTGGTTATGAGATACTTCGGAAATAAAAAGCACTTTTATGTTTTAATGTCTTAGAAGAGGAAGAGAAGAATGAGAAAAGACAAAAACTTGTGAGAAAAAAACAACAAGAGGCACAAGGAGAGAAGGTAAGGCAGAATTTTTAGAGACTTCTAAAAATCGGGAAATACAAAAATCTGAGGCAATTAAAATTAAGCTCTGGGCCAGGTGCAGTGTCTCACACCTGTAATCCCAGCACTTTGGGAGGCTGAGGCGGGTGGATCACAAGGCCAGGAGATCGAGACCATCCTGGTTAACACGGTGAAACCCCGTCTCTACTAAAAATAGAAAAAATTAGCTGGGTGTGTTGGTGCGCGCTTGTAGTCCTAGCTCCTGGGGAGGCTGAGGCAGGAGAATTGCTTGAACCTGGGAGGTTGCAGTGAGCCGAGACGGCGTCACTGCACTCCAGCCTGTGCAACAGAGCAAGACTCTGTCTGAAAAAAAAAATAAATTAATTAAGGTCTGTTGCTTCTGTCTTTGTGATAAGATTTTTTAAAAATATGTTGAAGTCAAATTCACATGATATAAAATTGACCATTTTATTGTATTTATTTTCGAGTTGGAGTCTTACTGTTGTTGCGCAGGCTGGCATGCAGTGGCACAATCTTGGCTCGCTGCAACCTCCACCTCCTGGGTTTAAGCAATTCTCCTGCCTCAGGCTCCTGAGTAGCTGGGATTACAGGCATGCACCACCACACCCAGCTAATTTTGTATTTTTAGTAGAGATGAGGTTTCGCCATGCTGGTCTTAAACTGCTGACCTCAAGTGATCCTTCTGCCTCGGCCTCCCAAAGTGCTGGGATTACAGGTGTGAGCAACCACGCCCAGCCAAAATAGGCCAAGCAGTTCAGTGATATTTAGTACATTCACAAGGTCATACAACTCTGTTCCATCCCCTTAGAGAAAACCATATACTCTTTAAACAGTCACTCCCTACCCTCCCCTCCTCCCATCCTCTGGGTACCACCAATCTGCTTTCTGTTGGTACGGATTTACCTGTTCTGGATATTTGTTATAAATGGGGTTGTAAAACATGTGACCTTGTGTGTCCAACTTCTTCGATTTAGCATAATGTTTTCCAGGTTCTTCTATACTATAGCATATATTGGTATTTAATTTCTTTTTGTGGCTGAATAATTGTCCATTGAATTTATATACCACATTTTTTTTTTTGAGACTGGGCCTCACTCTGTTGGCCAGGGTGGAGTTCAATGGTACAACCATAGCTCCCTGTTGCCTCAACTTCCTTGGTTCATGAGATCCTCCTGCCTTAGCTTCTCGGGTAGCTGAAACTGCAGGCACAGGCCACCACACTCAGCTAATTTTTAAAAAAATTTTTGGCTGGGTTTGGTAGCTCATGCCCATAATGCCAGAAAGGGTGGATCACTTGAGGTCAGGAGTTTGAGACCAGCCTGGCCAACATGGTGAAACCCTGTCTCTACTAAAAGCAAAAATTAGCCGGTCATGGTGGCATGCGCCTGTAATCCCAGCTACTCGGGAGGCTGAGACAGGAGAATAACTTGAACCCAGGAGGCGGAGGTTGCAGTGAGCCACGATCGTGCCACTGCATTCCAGCCTGGGCAACAGAGTGAGACTCTATCACAAATAAATAAATAAAGCAAAGGATATTGCTTCCCTCTCCAGATTTAAGACCTGAAATTCTGAAGATGGCACTTGTTTTCCCATTTGTGACAAATCCTTGGAGTTGCCGTACTGGCATTCCATTTGAATCAGGATAGAAAAAGTAGATCCTCCCATTCTCTTAGGAAATGGGATTGTTCCCAGAATAAACACCACATCCTGGTTGATACTTTCATAATCAGGCAAGTCTAAGACAAATGTCTGACCAGCCTGCTGTCCAGCTGTCTCTCCCGGCAACCAAGCAGCCAAACATGGCAGCAGCGGATTTGTTCAGCCACCAGGGCTCTTACTTGGTTGTTTACAACTTTATAGACAGCATACATTTTTAGGAACGTTATGTATAGTAGCAACGCCTAATTTGTTGTTTTGAACAGGTCAGCAGATACATAGAGAACGTTTTAAAACCTCACCAGGAAATGAAGTTGAGAAAACTGGAGGAGCGCTTTTATCAGATGACTGGTGAAGCCTGGAAATTAAGCCGTGGTCACAAACTTGGGGTTGGAAAAATATTTTTATTGTATATTTTGAATCCTTTATATTTCTTATTACATGATGTTTTTAAATTGAAAACGATGTTAGTCTGTTTCTAGGAGTTTTTATTGATAATGACTGTATATCAGTTTTTGTTTAGCATATTTGTTTATCACATGGCTAAGGGGTTGTTTTTCATTTTTAAAAGACAGAGTTGGCTGGGAGTGGTGGCTCATGCCTGTAATCTCAGCACTTTGGGAAGCTGAGGCGGGCAGATCATGAGGTCAAGAAATTGAGACCATCCTGGCCAACATGGTGAAACCCCATCTCTACTAAAAATACAAAAATTAGCTGGGTGTGTTGGCACATGCCTGTAATCCCAGCTACTCAGGAGGCTGAAGCAGGGAGAATTGCTTGAATCTGGGAGGCAGAGGTTGCAGTGAGTTGAGATTGTGCCATTGCACTCCAGCCTGGTGACAGAGTGAGACTCCATCTAAACGAAATAAAAACAACAACAAACAAAGACAGAGTCTCATCCTGTTGCCAGGGTGGGGTGCAGTGGCACGATCATAGCTCACTGCAGCCTTGAACTCTAGGGCTCAAGGGATCCTCCTGCCTCAGCTTCCTAAGTAGCTGGGACTACAGGTGCACCCTAGCATAGACTGCACCTGGCTGGTTAAGTGGTTTCTGGTGCCTAAAGAGCATATAACTTGGTTCCTTAAAAATCTCTAACAGAAGCTGGGTGTGGTTGCTCACACCTGTAATCCTAGTACTTTGGGAGGACAAGGCAGTCAGATCGCTTGTGACCAGGAGTTTGAGACCAGCCTGGGCAACAGAGGAAGACCCTATCTATATAAAAAAAAATTTTTAATTAGCCAGATGTGGTAGTGTGTGGCTGCAGTCTCAGCTACTTGGGGAGGCTAAGGCAAAAGGATCACCTGAGCCCAGGAGGTCGAGGCTGCAGTGAACCGTGACTACACCACTGCACTCCAGCCTCGGAGACAGAGCAAGACCCTTTCTCAGAAAAAGAAAAAAACAAAACTGTGACATAAGTTAGTCTTTCAAACTGTTGAAGAAATTGCTGTTGTCTAATCTGAGAACATTCTGATCTTTCCTCAAGTAAGATTTCCAAGGTATTAAGCTCATGATATATATTGTTTTTTTTGGTTTGTTTGTTTTGTTTTGAGTCAGAGTTTCGCTCTTGTTACCCAGGCTGGAGTGCAATTGTGCGATTTCGGCTCACCGCAACCTCCGCCTCCTGGGTTTAGGCAATTCTCCTGCCTCAGCCTCCTGAGTAGCTGGGATTACAGGCACGCACCACCATGCCCAGCTAATTTTTTTGTATTTTTAGTAAAGATGGGATTTCACCATGTTGACCAGGATGGTCTCTATCTCTTGACCTCTTGATCCACCCGCCTCGGCCTCCCAAAGTGCTGGGATTACAGGCTTGAGCCACCGCGCCCGGCCGATATATATTGTATTATATATTATATATTCTGATTTTTATTTGTCACATTAAACTTTGGTTATGTTTTCCTTCAGCATTGAATATGAATTTTGTCAGTTGCTACAGAAGTTTACTATTTTAAGTTTTCTTATCGGGGAAAAGGATATTCATAAAGACAGTAAGTTAGGCTGGCTCATGCTTATAATCCCCAGCACTTTGGGAGGCAGAGGCGGCTGAACTGCATGAGCTGGGAGTTTGAGACCAGCCTGGGCAACATAGTGAGACCTCATCTCTACAAAACAAACAAACAGCCAGTAAGTTTTGGAGGAACTGGCCACAGATTTTATGTTGTGTATGGCTGTTTCTGTCCCATAGTTAGATTTTTGCTTTGTGTTTATATTGTACCTTTCACCATTATCCAGTAAAGGTAAATAGGATTCTTATAGGGAACCAGAACTCATTTCATATAGCATGAAATAATCAAGGATAGGTAATAAAATTGATATTGAAAATGGGCAACATAAATACAGCTGTTCTAGGTAGGGATTTCACTTTTGAGTTGAGGTTTGTCTTCTGTTCAGTGTTGTGGTTGGTAGACTTTTATAGGTTTTTTTTCCCCAGAGTCTTACTTTGTTGCCCAGGCTGGAATGCAGTGGTGCCATCTCAGCTCACTACAACCTCTGCTTCCCAGGTTCAAGTAGTTTCTCTGCCTCAGCTTCTTGAGTAGCTGGGACTACAGGTGTGCGCCACTACACCTGGCTAATTTTTGTATTTTTAGTTGAGATGGGGTTTCGCTATTTAGGCCAGGCTGGTATCAAACTCCTGACTTCAGGTGATTTGCCCACTTTGGCCTCCCAAAGGCCACCCAAAGTGGGTGATTGCCCACTTTGGTGGTTTACATGCATAAGCCACCACGCCCAGCTGGCATGAAGATCTCTTGATTCCCATTCCCTGTGCCCCTTCTACCAGATTTTCTTAGGATAAGGGACAGAAGGTGATAAACCCCACTAAATGCTGAACATTTTAATCTGAGAAAGATGGTTAATAGCTATGGAAGGAAGGTATTATTGAACTAATAAGCACGTATTTGAGAATTTGACATTTAAGTAAATTATTTGGCTAAGGAAAAAAGTGTTCAGGCCAGACGCAGTGACTGGCGCCTGTAATCCCAGCACTTTGGGAGGCCCAGGTGGGCGGATCACAAGGTCAAGAGATTGAGACCATCCTGGTCAACATGGTGAAACCCCGTCTCTACTAAAAATACAAAAATTATCTGGGCATGGTGGCACACACCTGTAGTCCCAGGTACTCAGGAGGCTGAGGCAGAAGAATAGCTTGAACCTGAGAAGTGGAGGCTGCAGTGAGCTGAGATCGTGCCACTGCATCCAGCTTGGCAAAAGAATGACCCTTTGTCTCAAAAAAAAAAAAAAAACCACGCAGGTGGGCCAGGCACGGTGACTCACGCCTATAATCCCAGCACTTTGGGAAGCCGAGGTGGAAGGATCACGAGGTCAGGAGTTCAAGACCAGCCTGACCAACAGAATGAAACCCTGTCTCTACTAAAAATACAAAATTAGCCAGGCATGGTGGCGCACGCTTGTAATCCTAGCTAGTCAGGAGGTTGAGGCAGGAGAAATGCTAGAACCTGGGAGGTGAAGGTAGTTGCAGTGAGCCAAGATGGCACCACTGTCCTCTAGCCTGGGTGACAGAGTTAGACTCCATCTCAAAATAAAAAATAAAATAAAAAGCCACTCAGATTCAAGTGATTATTCTGCTGCAACTAATTTGTTTTTTTGTTTTTGAGTCAGTCGCACTCTGTCACCCAGGCTGGAGTATAGTGGCGTGATCTCAGCTCACTGCAACCTCCATCTCCCAGGCTCAAGTGATTCTCCTGCCTCAGCCTCCCTAGTAGTTGGGATTACAGGTGCCTACCACCACGCCCGGCTAATTTTTGTAGTAGAGGTGGGGTTTCACTGTGTTGGCCAGGCTGTGATCCACTTGGCTCGGCCTCCCAAAATGCTGGGATTACAGGCGTGAGCCACCGTGCCTGGCCAATTTTTGTATTTTTTTCAGTAGAGACTGGGTTTCACAGTGTTAGCTAGGCTGGTCTTGAACGCCTGACTTCAGGTGATCTGCCTGCATCAGCCTCCCAAAGTCCTGGAATTACAGGTGTGAGCCATGGCGCCTGGCTCAAGCCTTGTGTTTTCTTGTCCAAGGACGTAATGCTTTAATTTTGAGGGGTCTCATAATGGCTTGCTCATATTTTTCTAATATGCTATTAGGGTGGAAAAGAAAAAGGAAAAAACCATTGTGAATAAATTGATATAAAACATCTCTTTAGAAATTGTCTGTTATTTTTGACTAGGGTGATGAAAGTACAAGTCAGACATCTTTTGAAACATCAAACAGAGAAACAGCAAAGAGCCAGAACTTGCCTAAACCTTTCACTGAATTCTCATTGCCTGCTGAACAGCCCACACAGAAGGAGGTAAAGTACCTGTAATTCCAGCACTTTGGGAGGCCAAGGTGGGTGGGTCACCTGAGGTTGGGAGTTCGAGAGCAACCTAACCAACATGGAGAAACCCAGTCTCTACTAAAAATACAAAAAATTAGCTGGGCATGATGGTGCATGCCTGTAATCCCAGCTACTTGGGAGGCTGAGGCAGGATAATTGCTTGAACCTGGGAGGCAGAGGGTGTGGTGTGCTAAGATCAGCCATTGCACTGCAGTCTCGGCAATAAGAGCAAAGCTCTGTCTCAAAAAAAAAAGAATAGGCTGGGCATGGTGGCTGACATCTGTAATCCCAGCACTTTGGGAGTCCGAGGTGGGTGGAGGTTGAGGCCAGGAGTTTGAGACCAGCCTGGCCAACATGGTGAAAACCCAACTCTATTAGAAAATAATAATTTTCACTGTTCCATATTAATATTAATGTTCTGAATCCATCTTGGAAGCTATAAAGACAAATGATAATAGGTTTAGAAAATACTCAATTCTGGGCCAGGCACAGTGGTTCATGCCTGTAATCCCAGGACTTTGGGGGGCTGAGGTGGGCAGATCATGAGGTCATCCTGGCTAATAGAGTGAAGCCCAGTCTCTACTAAAAATACAAAAAATTAGCTGGGCGTGGTGGTACACACCTGTAGTCCCAGCTACTTGGGAAGCCGAGGCAGGAGAATCGCTTGAACCCAGGAGGCTGAGGTTGTAGTAAGCTGAGATCGTGCCACTGCACTTCAGTCTGGGTGACAGAGCGAGACTCCACCTCAAAAAAAAAAAAAAAAAAAAGGATATACCCAGTTCTTTTTGAGATATTTGATCTGAATATGTAAAAATGGTAAATATATCACACCTGCAATCCCAGCACTTTGGGAGGCTGAGGTGGGCAGGTCATGAGGTGAAAAAATTGAGACCATTTTGACCAATGTGGTGAAACTCCGTCTCTATTAAAAATACAAAAATGATCTGGGTGTGGTGGCATGTACTTGTAATACCGGCCACTCGGGAGGCTGAGGCAGGAGAATTGCTTGAACCAGGGAGGCAGAGGTTGCAGTGAGCCAAGATTGTACCATTGTACTCCAGTCTGGGTGACAGAGCAAGACGCCATCTCAAAAAAAAAAGAGAGAGAAATACAATGCTTACAAAGGGGAGCATTCCTATTAACTTAAGACATTATCAAGCCCTGCCTTGTGAGTGGCTAACGGCTGTTATTAACATGAGTATATAATTTTCCTTACTGGCCCTTCTAGGGAATAGATTAGCGATCAGTCACATTGGAATACTGCCCAGGTTTATTATACACATTTTTCATTCAAATCTTTAATCCCTAAGTTAATTCCAACTGGAGCTGGAAAAAATTGGAAATAAGAAATCTGTTTTTACCAGCCCTTAGGGAAAGCTGGGAGGCTATTCCCTGAAAGTGGTTTCTAATATATTGCTTCTCAGTTTCAAATTTCCTGGTCCTGTAGTGGAGATTCAGCAGGGAGACTCAGCAGGGAATTATTGAACTCTCACTGACATTTGAAAAAGATCAAGCCAGGCGCGGTGGCTCACACCTGTAATCCCAGCACTTTGGGAGGCCAAGGCGGGTGGGTCACGAGGTCAAGAGCTCGAGACCATCCTGGTCAACATGGTGAAACCCCGTCTCTACTAAAAATAGAAAAATTAGCTGCGAGTGGTGGCGCATGCCTGTAGTCCCAGCTACTCGGGAGGCTGAGGCAGGAGAATTGCTTGAACCCAGGTAGTGGAGGTTGCGGTGAGCTGAGATTGCGCCGTTGCACTCCAGCCTGGGTAACAAGAGTGAAACTCCGTCTCAAAAAAAAAAAGAAATTGATCGAATTAACTAAGTGGACTGATGAAAAATTCAAGTTTCTTTGTGTTTTGTTAACAACACTATCTTATGCTGATGGCAAATTTTACTTGACAGTCACGTATGCTTTTGATACCAAAGGAAAACAAATGAGTTATTTAGTAAATGCAAGTAATGTTTGTTAGATTAAATGTTATAAAATATACTCTATGGTATTGATCAATAAAAGGGGTTCCTGGAGATGAAGTCATTGGTAGCAATTTTTTTTTTTGAGACAGTTTTTTGCTCTGTCACTAGGCTGTGCAGTGGCCTGATCTTGGCTCACAGCAACCTCCACCTCACAGGTTCAAGTGATTCCCGTGCTCAGCCTCCTGAGTAGCTGGGACTACAGGTGTGTGCCACCATGCCCAGATAATTTTTGTATTTTTAGTAAAGATGAGGTTTCACCATGTTGGCCAGGCTGGTGTCGAACTCCTGACCTCGTGGTCTGCCTGCCTCTGCCTTCCAAAGTCCTGGGATTACAGGCGTAAGCCACTGTGCCTTCCCTGGTAGCAAATATTTTGATATGGTTTAAATCTCTGATTATTATTATTATTTTTTTTTGAGACAGAGTCTGGTATGTAATGGTGCAATCTTGGCTCACTGCAATCTTAGCCTCCCCAGTAGCTGGGACTACAGGCACACACCACCATGCCCGGCTAATTTTTTGTTTTTTAGTAGAGACGGGGTTTCACCATGTTGGCCAGGCTGGTCTTGATCTCCTGACCTTGTGATCCGCCCACCTCAGCCTCCTAAAGTGCTGGGATTACAGGCGTGAGCCACCGTGCCCAGCCTAAAAGCAAAATTCTTTTAAGTGTATATAGGAGCTATTAAATCCTATTTTTAAGATTAATTTTTATTACACTTGCCCAAAAATTTTTATTAATTAAACTCCCATTTTCATGATAAAACTTCTATAGATATATATTTAAAGAAAAGATTTCAATAAGCTTAGATGTATGTCTAAACTCTATATTGAAAGGAACTCTTCTTATTGACACTTTTGTTTGCTTCTTGAAAATGTTTACATTCCTTTTACCAATACTTACTTTTCTTTAGACTCCTGATTTACCTGAAGAACCTTCTGGAACAGTGGAAGAAGTAAGTCTCTTTTTCTCTTTGAAATTGAATGTATTTTCTTTGCTTAACATCAATTATATATGTCTTATATAAACTTGGGTTTTGAAAGAATTGATAGCATAAGTGTTCATGTGATTATACTGTAACTAGGATTTTTTTTTTTTTTAAGGAAGCGAGGAAGGCAGGAAGGGAGGGAGGAAGGAAGGGATGAAGTAAGGAAGGAAGGAGGGAGGGAGGGAGGGAGGGAAGGGAAGGGAAGGAAGGAATTCAAGCAATGAGAGAGACATTGCTGACCTGGATCTAGAGGTTTACAAGTTGATTTCTTTTTTTGAGAGAAGGAAAGAAAAAAAAAATAAGTAAAGGAGAGAAAGAAAGAGGAAGAGAGAGAGGGAGGGTGAATGGAAATATTGCTTTATTCTGAAAAAAAAATGGGTATTAATAATGGCCAATTAAGTTTCATTTAAACCTGTGAGTAGGTGTGATGTGGTATTGACAAGAATGTATATTTTGTGTATTTGAAGTGGAGAGCTCTATGAATATTTATTAAGTTTACTTGTTCCGGATCTGAGTTTGAGTCCTTGATATCCTTATTAATTTTTTGTCTCATTGAATCTAAGTCTCTGTGTATCTGGGTGTTAGGATCATTAGCTCTTGTTGTTGCATTGATCCTTTTACCACTATATCTTTGTTGCTTTAAAATCTATTTTATCCGATATGAGAATTGCAACTCCTGCTTTTTATTTATTTATTTTTTCTCTCCATTTGGTTGGTAAATCTTTCTCCATTCCTTTATTTTGAGTCTTTGTGTATCCTTGCATGTGAAACAGGTCTGGATGTAACATGCCTTTGGGTTTTGGCTGTGTCTTTTGATAGGGGGATTTAGTCGATTTAAATTTAGGGTTACTGCCATTTGATGTTAACTGGCTGTTTGATCCATTCGTTGATGTAAATTCTTCTTTATGTTGTTGCTCTTTACTTTTTGGTATATTTTTAGAAAGGCTAATACTGGTTGTTTCTTTCTGTGTGTAATGCTTCTTTCAGAAGCTCTTGTAAAGCAGGCCTGGTGGTAATAAAATCTCTGAGTACTTGCTTGTTCATAAAAGATTTTATTTTTCCTTCAGTTGTGAAGCTTAGTTTGGCTGGATATGAAATTCTGGGCTGAAGGTTCTGTTCTTTGAGGATGTTGAATATTGGCCCCCACTCTCTTCTGGCTTGTAGAGTTTCTGCTGAGAGATCTGCTGTAAGTCTGACAGGCTTGCCTTTGTGGGTAACCTGACCTTTCTCTCTGGCTGCCCTTAGTATTTTCTCCTTCGTTTCAACCCTGGTGAATCTAACGATTATGTGCCTTGGGGTTGCTCTTCTTGAGGAATATCTTTGTGGTGTTCTCTGTATTACCTAGGGTTGAATATTGACCTGCTTTGCTAGTTTAGGAATATTTTCCTGAATAATATTCTGAAGGGTATTTTCCAGCTTGGATTCATTCTCTCCATCACATTCAGGTACACCTATCAAACGTAAATTTGGTCTTTTCACATAGTCCCACATTTCTTGGAGACTTTGCTCATTCCTTTTTATCCTTTTATTTCTAATCTTGTCTTCTTGTTTTCTTTCATTAAGTTGGACTTTGACCTCTGATATCCTTTCTTCTGCTTGAACAATTCCAGTGTTTAAACCTGTGCATACTTCTCAGAGTTCCTGTATTGTATTCTTCAGTTCCATTAATTCACTTATATTCCTCTCTAAGTTGTCTATTCTCAATAGGAATTCATTAAACCTTTTTTCAAAGTTCCTAGTTTCTTTATGTTGGGCTACAACATGTTCTTTTAACTCACAGAAGTTTCTTAATATCCATTCCCTGAAGAGTGATTCTGTCATTGGGATGCGCTCGTTCTCCATCAAGCCTTGTTCCATTGCCGATGTGGAACTGGGATCATCTTTAGAGGGAGAGGCGTTCTGATTTTGAGTATTCTCAGCCTTTTTGCGCTGGTTTCTTCCAAATCATTGTAAATTTATCCTCCTGTCGTCTTTGAAATTACCAACTTTCAGATTAGGTCTCTTGAGTGGATGTCCAAGTTGTTAGTTCCCAGGGCCAGAACGGCGGTGTTAAGACTGATGGTGTTTTTCTGCCCAGGATTCTCCTGTCTGGCTTCCTTCTTGTGTCCGTAATAGGCGACTCTGCCTTCCCGGGGCTCCAAACCTCCGTCAGAAGGGGAACCAGTCTTGTTTACTCTGCGCCGAGAGCAGCCGCGCTGAGATGCCGTCTCTGCCGATGCGCCGGCCTCAGGAGTCGTGCTGGGGACCCCTGTGGGTCCTCCAAACCTCGGTCAGAAGGGGAGCCGGCCCTGTTTACTCTGCTCCGAGAGCTGCTGCACCGGGGTGCCAGCAAAGCCACTGCGCAGGCCACAAGAGTTGCGCTGGCGACCCGTGTGGTTCCTCCACTGGGGATCTTCTGCTCCGTGAGCGACCAGAATTTGTCTGAAAGTGTGGCGTCCTCTAGTTCTCTGCGCTTTGACTGAGAGCTGCAGTCCCGAGCTGTTAGCGATCGGCCATCTTCACTAGGATTTTTTTTAACAAATAGAGATGGGTTGGGCATAGTGGCTCAAGCCACTTTGGGCGGCCAAGGCGAGTGGATCACCTGAGGTCAGGAGTTCTTAACCAGCTTGACCAACATGGTGAAAATCCGTCTCTACTAAAAAATAAAAAAATTAGCTGGGGGCGGTGGCATGCACCTGTAATCCCAGCTACTCCGGAGGCTGAGACAGGAGAATCGCTTCAACCTGGGAGGCAGAGGTTGCCGTGAGCTGAGATTGTGCCATTGCACTCCAGCCTGGAGAGAGAACAAGACTCTGTTTCAAAAAAAAAAAAAAAGGGGGGGGCCAGGCACGGTGGCTCAAGCCTGTAATCCTAGCACTTTGGGAGGCCAAGGCAGGTGGATCACGAGGTCAAGAGATCGAGACCATCCTAGTCAACATGGTGAAACCCCATCTCTACTAAAAATACAAAAATTAGCTGGGCATGGTGGTGCGTCCCTGTAATCCCAGCTACTCAGGGCGCTGAGGCAGGAGAATTGCCTGAACCCAGGAGGCGGAGGTTGCGGTGAGCCGAGATCGTGCCATTGCACTCCAGCCTGGGTAACAAGAGCGAAACTCCGTCTCAAAAAAAAAAAAAACAAAAGGACAGGGTCTCGCTATGTTGCCTAGGCTGGTCTTGAACTCCTGACCTCAAGTGATCTGCCCACCCAAGTGCTGGGTTTACAGGCGTGAGCCATCACACCTGGCCCTCCATATATAGTTTTAATCAGTACAACTTTTATATTACATAAAGTTTTATTAAGATTATTAGTGATGGGCCAGGTGCACTGGCTCATGCCTGTAATCCCAACACTTTGGGAGGCTGAGCTGGGCAGATTGCTTGAGCCTAGGAGTTGGAGACCAGCTTGACCAACATGGCCAAACCCCATTCTCTACAAAATACAAAAAAAATTAGCCACATGTGGTGACACACATCTGTAGTCCCAGCTACTTGGAGGCTGAGATGGGCGGATCGCTTGAGCCTGGGGCTTTAACAGCCTGGGTGACAGAGCAAGATCTTACCTCAAATAAAAAGAATACTAGTAATATATAGTTGATACTACTTGATACTTTTACAGTGTATTTTATTCTACTTTAATGAAGACAAGCCAATAAATATTAGAATATTTTGATTCTGTCAGAATAATCATTGGGCAAGGTATTTTCTACCTGGGCCATTTCTACTGCTCATAGATTTCTAAGAATGCAAGGCAAATATTTTAAATTCCTTACCAAACATTCATAAGCCTGGATGACTTCAAATGTCTTCAGATGTCCCCTTCCATCTTTCATAATTCTCCTGTTCTCATAGCCTAGATCTTGTTGTCTTACTCTTTTTTTTTTTTTTTGAGATGGAGTCTTGCTTTGTCACCCAGGCTGGAGTACAGTGGCACCATCTCGGCTCACTGCAATGTCTACCTCCCAGGTTCAAGTGATTCACCAACATGGTGAAACCCCATCTCTACTAAAAATACAAAAAAATTAGTCAGGCATGGTGGTGCATGCCTGTAGTCCCAGCTACTTGGGAGGCAGAGGCAGGGGAATTGCTTGAACCAGGGAAGGGGAGGTTGCAGTAAGCAGAGATTGCACCACTGCGCTCCAGCCTGGATGACAGAGCAAGACTCCAACTCAAAAAAAAAAAAAGAAGAACGATCCAAGATGGCCGATCGCTAACATCCCGGGATTGCAGCTCTCAGGGAAGGCGCGGAGAACTAGAGGACGCCACACTTTCAGACAAAGTCTGGTCGCTCACGGAGCAGAAGATCCCCCAGTGGTGGAAACACACGGGTCGCCAGCGCGACTCTCGTGGTCGGCGCAGCGGTTCCGCCGGCACCTCGGCGCGGCAGCTCTCGGAGCAGAGTAAACGGGACCGCTTCCCCTTCTGACTGAGGTTTGGAGCCCCGGGAAGGCAGAGTCGCCTACTACGGAAACAAGAAGGAAGCCCGACAGGAGAATCCTGGGCAGAAAAGCACCATCAGTTTTAACGCCGCTGCTCTGGCCCTGGGAACTAACAACCTGGACGTCCACTCAAGAGACCTAATCTGAAAGTTGGTAATTTCAAAGACGAGAGGAGGATAAATTTACAATGACGGGAAGAAACCAGCGTAAAAAAGCTGAGAATGCTCAAAGTCAGAACGCCTCTCCCTCTAAAGATGATCACAGTTCCACATCAACAATGGAACAAGGCTTGATGGAGAACGAGCGCCTCCTGATGACAGAATCACTCTTCAAGGAATGGATAATAACAAACTTCGGTGAGTTAAAAGAACATGTTGTAGCCCAACGTAAAGAAACTAGGAACTTTGACAAAAGGCTTGATGAAATCCTATTGAGAATAGACAACTTAGAGCGGAGTATGAGTGAATTAATGGAACTGAAGAATACAATACAGGAACTCCGAGAAGTATGCACAGGTTTAAACACTGGACTTGTTCAAGCAGAAGAAGGGATATCAGAGGTCAAAGTCCAACTTAATGAAATAAAACGTGAAGAAAAGATTAGAGAAAAAAGGATAAAAAGGAATGAGCAAAGTCTCCAAGAAATGTGGGACTATGTGAAAAGACCAAATTTACGTTTGATAGGTGTACCTGAATGCGACGGAGAGAATGAATCCAAGCTGGAAAATACCCTTCAGGATATTATTCAGGAAAATTTTCCTAAACTAGCAAAGCAGGTCAACATTCAACCCCAGGTAATACAGAGAACACCACAAAGATATTCCTCAAGAAGAGCAACCCCAAGGCACATAATCGTTAGATTCACCAGGGTTGAAACGAAGGAGAGGATACTAAGGGCAGCCAGAGAGAAAGGTCGGATAACCCACAAAGGCAAGCCTATCAGACTTACAGCAGATCTCTCGGCAGAAACTCTATAGGCCAGAAGAGAGTGGGGGCCAATATTCAACATCCTCAAAGAACAGAACCTTCAACCCAGAATTTCATATCCAGCCAAACTAAGCTTCACAACTGAAGGAAAAATAAAATCTTTTATGAACAAGCAAGAACTCAGAGATTTTATTACCACCAGGCCTGCTTTACAAGAGCTTCTGAAAGAAGCATTACACACAGAAAGAAACAACCAGTATTAGCCTTTCTAAAAATACACCAAAAAGTAAAGAGCACCAACATAAAGAAGAATTTACACCAACACATGGATAAAACAGCCAGTCAACATCAAATGGCAGTAACCCTAAATTTAAATTGACTAAATTCCCAATCAAAAGACACAGCCAAAACCCAACGGCATGTTACATCCAGACCTGTTTTACATGCAAGGATACACAAAGACTCAAAACAAAGGGATGGAGAAAGATTTACCAACCAAATGGAGAGAAAAAATAAATAATAAATAAATAAAAAGCAGGAGTTGCAATTCTTGTATCGGATAAAATAGATTTTAAAGCAACAAAGATATAGTGGTAAAAGGATCAATGCAACAACAAGAGCTAACGATCCTAACACCCAGATAGGAGACTTAGATTCAATGAGACAGAAAATTAATAAGGATATCAAGGACTCGAACTCAGATCCAGAACAAGTAAACTTAATAAATATTTATAGAGCTCTCCACTTCAAATACACAAAATATACATTCTTGTCAATACCACATCACACCTACCCATTAGTTTAAATGAAACATTGATTGGCCATTATTAATACCCAATTTTTTTCAAAATAAAGCAATATTTCCATTTACTCTCCCTCTTTCTCTTCCTCTTTCTTCCTCTCCTTTACTTATTTTTTTTTTTTTTCTTTCCTTCTCTCAAAAAAAAGAAATCAACTTGTAAACCTCTAGATCCAGGTCGGCAATGTCTCTTTCATTGCTTGATTTCCTTTCTTCCCTTCCCTCCCTCCCTCCCTCCCCGCTTCCTCCCTTCCTTCCTTCCTTCATCCCTTCCTTCCTCCCTACTGTCCTTCTTCCCTTCCTTCCTGCCTTCCTCCCCCCCCAAAAAAAAAAAAAAAAAAAAAAGGTTATTAGAACTAAATGAATATATATCACTATAGTGATATTGATATATATTTTAAATATGTAGTGACTCTATAACCATATGAGAAAATTTCTTATTTATTTTGGAGACAAGGTCTTGCTGGGTTGCCCAGGCTAATTTGAAATCCTGGGCTCAAGTGATTCTCTTACCTAAGCCTCCTGAGTAGCTGGGATTACAGGCATGCAAAGCCTGCCTGGATTTAGGAACAGACTCTTAATGAGGAAACTAGTGACTAACATGGATTTCTGCTAAGAGGAGGGCAGCATGAGGCTGTGGCTCACGCTGGTAAACCCAGCACTTTGTGAGGCCGTGCATCACCTGAGGTCAGGAGTTTGACACCAGCCTGGCCAGCATGATAAAATCCCCTCTCTACCACAAAACAAAAATTAGCTGGAGAGACAGTTGCAGATCCCTGTAATCCCAGCTACTCGGGAAACTGAGGCAGGAGGATCGCTTGAACCTGAGAGGTGGAGGTTGCAGTGAGCCGGGATTGCCTCACTGCACTCCAGCCTGGGCAACAGAGCGAGACTCCATCTCAAAAATAAAAATAAAAGGGAGGGACATAAAAAATAATGCAGTTTGTACTTAAGGAGTACACTCTGATTTATTCAGCACCTGTTAAGTATTTAGTATTGTAGCTATCTATAGAATTCTAAAATGTTCACATTTAGATTTTGAAAAAGAGAGAGGGAAGTAACTCATGGTAGTCCAGAATTCTTTTTTTTTTTCCATTACCTCCAGTAATGGCTATAAGCAAAGTCCAGAATTCTTAATGGAATAGTCACCATATGTTGCTGTTCTACTTTTTAATTGAAACAGTGACCATGGAGTTTCAGAGAATTTGAAAATAATTTTGTAAATCATCACATAGCACTTTGGATGGATCACTTAAGGCCAGGAGTTCAAAACCAGCCTGGCCGACATGGTGAAACCCTGTTTCTACTAAAATGCAAAAATCAGTCAGGGGTGGTGGTACTCACCTGAAATCCCAGCTGTTCAGGAGGCTGAGGCCTAAGAATTGCTTGAACCTTGGAGGCAGAAGTTGCAGAGAGCCTGGTTCACACCACTGTTCTTCAGCCTAGGCAACAGAGCGAGACTCTGTCTCAAACAAACAAACAAAACCGTATTGCCACTGTGAGAGCTTTTGTTATTGCATGCTACCTTGCTTCAGTTTAAGGAGTAGCTGTGAAACGTTTTAATTTTTGCTACTTTTAAAATTAGGTCTCACTTAACTCTGTTTGGCATACTGATTTCCTTCCCAATTTGGGTTGCAGCTCATGGATTTTACCTGTTTGTATGTCAGCCCACTACACTGTCAGTAAGAGTAGAAAAAATTGCAGTCAGCCATTACAGTAGTTGTAACAGTAGGACAGTTGCCACATTTCAAACAGTGATATTTCATTTCTGTCTCGTGAAAAAATAATTCCGGTTTTTTTTTTTTTTTTTGAGACAGGATCTCACCCTGTCGCCCAGGCTGGAGTGCAGTAGTATGATCTTAGCTCACTGCAAACTCTGCTTCCCAGGTTCAAGTGATTCTTCTGCCTCAGCTTCCCAAATAGCTGGGATTACAGGCACCTGCCACCACACCTGGCTAGGTTTTTTTTATTTTAGTAGAGATGGGTTTTCCCCATGTTGGACAGTCTGGTCTCGAACTCCTGATATCAGGTGATCCCCCCCCCCCCACTCTATCTCAGCCTCCGAAAGTGCTGGGATTACAGGTGTGAGCTACCACGCCTGGCCTAATTCAGTATATTTTATTGCTGATTTCTCATGAGGCAATTGGCTTTAATCCTCCTGTGAAATTACTGAAGTAACAAAACCTCAATGTAAAAATTAAATACTGTTTCTAAAAATAAGCAGGCCATGCTAGGTGCGGTAGCTTATGCTGTAATCCCAGCACTTTGGGAGGGATTGAGCAGGCCAAGGCGGGCACATCACTTGAGGTCAGGAGTTGGAGACCAGCCTGGACAACATGGCTTAACATGAGTCTGAGGCAGAAGAAGCGCCTGGACCCAGGAGGCAGAGGTTGCAATGAACCAAGATCAAGCCACTGCACTCCAGCCTGGCTGACAGAGTGAGACTCCATCTCAAAAAGTAAAAAATAAAAATAAGCAGGCCGGGTGTGGTGACTCATGCCTGTAATCCTAGCACTTTAGGAAGCTAAGACAGGAGGATCACTTAAGCCCAGGAGTTTGAGACTATCCTGGGCAACCTAGTGAGACCTCATCTGTTAAAAAATTTTTTTAAATGTCACCCTATTAGAAAAAAAATTAATAAAAATAAAATTGGTTTTTCATCTGTGATTCAGTTCTTTCATCATTTACTATGAAACCTTTCTTTAGTGAAAGTAATAACAGTGCAGAACTTTCATGCAATAGGTTCAACATTACACTGATTTAGGTGTGAATGAAATCCCTTAACCTCTTGATTAGAAGTTTTTTTGAGACAGTCTTGCTTTGTCTCCCAGGCTGGAGTGCAGTGGTGTGATCTCAGCTCACTGCAGCCTGCGCCTTCCAGGTTCAAGTGATTCTCCTGCCTCAATCTCCTGAGTAGCTGGGATTACAGGTGCATGCCACCACACCTAGCTAATTTTTTGTACTTTTAGTAGAGTTGGGGTTTCACCATGTTGGCCAGGCTGGTTTCATACTCCTGGCCTCAAGTGATCCACCCAACTTAGCCTCCCAAAATGCTGGGATTACAGGCCTGAGCCACCTCATCTGGCCTGATTGGAAATATTTGCTAACATGGCTTTCCTGAGAGGGAGGGGTGCCACTCTAAAACCACCACTTACACATAATATGATACCCACATAACTCCCAGCACACTTAATGATCATGTTAGTCATAAGAAGGGGTTTCTTGACAGGTGAAAAATAAATATACTAATTTGTCATCTTCTCATTTTATAATTTCTTTTTTTTTTTTTTTTACAACAGTCTTGCTCTATCATCCAGGCTGTGCAGTGGTATGATCACAACTCGCTACCTCAGATTCCCTGGGCTCAGGTAGTTCTCCCACTTCAGCCTCTCGAGCAGCTGGGACTACAGGCACACGCCACCACGTCTAGCTAATTTTTCTATTTTTTGTAGGGGCTGGTGTCTTGAACTCCTGGCCTCAAGTGGTCTACTTGCCTCAGCCTCCTGGAGTCCTGGGATTACAGGTGTGAGCCACCACCATGCCCTGCCAATGTCTTTTAATAAATTAGCAGCAGCACCTAAGTTCTTCTTACCTGCTTAGCTGTTTTATCGAATGAAAGGCACTACAGAGAGCAATGGATCGGAGTTCTTATGTGAATCTTTCTTCCTCAGGTGGTTACGGTTGCTCTCCGATGTCCCAGTGGGAGTGTCCCAAGGAGAAGGTTTTTGAAGTCCTGCAGCTCACAGGTAAGTAAGGGAATCCGCATTTTGAGAAATAGCTTTGTTAACTTTGGCAATAGTTAATTCACATGCCATGGGGAAGGTGTTATCACACTGTCATCCTCACCTCCCGTCAGCTGTGGATAGAGGACATTTCCAGGCACTCCGCATTGCGGAAATGTGGCTAGCTAGGCGGGCATGCCGGGTGTCTCTGCACTGTAATCTCTGCATTCACATTTTACTCAACTTTTCCCTTTGGCTTAGTTTTCCTTTCTTGTTTGTTTTCATTACATTTTCATAATTTGATGGGTAAGATGCTTTTATTTATTTATTATTATTTTTTGAGACAGTGTCACTCTGTTGCCAGGCTGGAATGCAGTGGCATGATCTCGGCTCACTGCAGCCACAGCCTCCCAAGTAGCTGGGACCACAGGCACGTGCCACTAAGGCCAGCTAATTTATTGTATTTTTAGTAGAGACTGGGTTTCACTATGTTGACCAGGATGGTCTTGATCTCTTGACCTTGTGATCTGCCTGCCCTGGCCTCTCAAAGTGCTGGGATTACAGGGGTGAGCCGCCGTACCCAGCTGGTAAAATGCTTTTAAAGCCTTAGGAAGTAGCTGCTAAAAAACTTGACTTTTTTTCTTTTCAAAACAATACTGTGAACTGGGTGCAGTGACTCAAATCTATAATCGCAACACTTTAGGAGGCCAAGGCAGGTGCATCACTTGAGGTCAGGAATTTGAGACCAGCCTGGCCAACATAGCAAAACCCCGTCTCTACTACGAACACAAAAATTAGCCAGGCAGCGTGGTGGATGCCTGTAATCCTAGCAACTCAGGAGCCTAAGGCAGGAGAATCACTTGAACCTGGGAGGCAGAGGTTGCAATGAGCTGAGATTGTGCTACCACACTTCAGCCTGGGTGACAGAGCAAGATTCTATCTCAAAAATAGTAAATAACAACAACAAAACTGTGGTTGTTAGTGATAATTGGGAACACATGGAAAAGCAGAGAAAAAACTTGATCTGTAATCTCATGCCAAAACCAGTTACTAACATTTCAGTATATTTCCATCCCTAAGTACATTTAAACATATAATTACATATGCATTAAAAATACGCTGGATATGGTGGCTCACACCTGTAATCCCATCACTTTGGGAGGCTGAGGCGGGTGGATCACAAGGTCATGAGATCGAGACCATCCTGGCTAACATGGTGAAACCTCATCTCTACTAAAAATACAAAAATTAGCTGGGCATGGGGATGGACACATGTAGTCCCAGCTACTTGGGAGGCTGAGGCAGGAGAATCACTTGAACCCAGGAGGTGGAAGTTGCCGTGAGCTGAGATCGCGCCACTGCACTCTAGCCTGGGCAACAAGAACAAAACTCCGTCTCAAAAAAAAAAAGTCTCAGTCTGATTTCTAGGGAAAGAAAGGAAAAAAAGAATATTCCGCAGTGGCTCACGCCTGTAATCCCAGCACTCTGGGAGGCCAAGCTGGGCAGACTACTCGAGGTCAGGAGTTCAAGACCAGCCTGACCAACCTGGAGAAATCCCATCTCTACTAAAAATACAAAATTAGCTGAGTGTGGTGGTACACACCTGTAATCCCAGGTACTTGAGAAGCTAAGGCAGGAGAATCTCTTGAACCTGGGAGGCAGAGGTTGCGGTGAGCCGAGATCACACCATTGCACTCCAGCCTGGGCAACAAGAGTGAAACCGTCTCAAAAAAAAAAAAAATTCCTATCTCAAAACTCATGGCAAGCTATTTTCCTTTAAATTCTACAAAGTTTATTTGAAAGGTATGAAAGCTGTGTCTCATTACTCCTAGGCATATGATTTTACATTGACAAAATTGTAAAACGTTACAGAGGTGTAAAGGGACACAGTTTGTCAAGTATTTGATAATGACCAAGCTAAACTTTTTATCTCCTAGGTCTTATTTGACTGGATGATGAGAATTGGGTACCACACATCTTTATACAGCCTTTCTACTTCCTTTCCCAGACAGCCTCTCGCAGTGGAGGGAGGCCGGTCGCTGGAGGACATTGGAATAACCGTGGACACTGTACTCATCCTGGAAGAGAAGGAGCAGAGCAACTAGGGAATAAGAGAGAGCTCCCTGTTCTGCACAAAGTCAGCTGTGCCATGACCTTCTGACACAGTAAAGGCTTCACGTTGAAAATCACACTATACCTCGATTGAGCTCATGGCAGTAAACACTTGAAGGCTACTCTCTCTGGGAATGGGATTGGAAAAGGATTGCTTTCTCCATATAATAATCTGTGGACTGTGCCATTTTACAATGTCCCAAATGAGAACGAGGTAAAAACGTATACAGTTAGGTACTCAGTAATTAATATTTTCCCAGCTGACATTTCTCAGTGTGTTAGAAAACAAAGCTGTAGAACTTTGCTTTCTGCCTCTTCAATCCATCTTTCCACACAATGAATATTTCATGATTTAGTCAAATCCTTCAGAGTCTTAGCAGGAATGTTTATTCTGCTGTATTTCTGTGAAATTACTAACTTGAAAGAAGTTTCAAAGCTCTTGAAGGCTTTAAAGTTCTTTCTGATGGGTATGCATTGCAGTTGACTTAACTCATGTTTGCAATTTATATAATTTTTTTCTTGTATTAATTGTAACATTTACAAAGTTCCAAGTGAATCAGTATTTTTAAAAATAAAAATATGAAAGCATTAAATATAGGTGAATTTTTAAAAATACATCTGATCACTTCCCTCTCCTCCTTATAAATCTGTAGTGACAAAGTCATGCACTGTAACACCAAATTCACAAGTGTGGTTATAAAAGGCTCTTATCTTTTTCCTACTCACTCCTTTCTTTTCCCGTGCTCTGTTTTAAAAGTCTGCTCACTGGCTGGGTATGGTGGCTCACACCTGTAATCCTAGCACTTTGGGAGGCCAAGGCAGGCAGATCACCTGAAGTCTGGAGTTTGAGACCAGCCTGACCAACATGGACAGACCCCGTCTCTACTAAAAATACAAAAAATTAGCTGGGTGTGGTGGCGCGTGCCTGTAATCACAGCTACTAGAGAGGCTAAGGCAGGAAAATCACTTGAACCTGGGAGGCAGAGGTTGCTGTGAGCCGAGATTGCACCAGTGCACTCCAGCCTGGGCAACAAGAGCAAAACTGTCTCAAAAAAGTAAATAAAAGTCTCCTCAGGCCAGGCGTGGTGGCTCACACCGGTAATGTCACCACTTTGGGAGGCCCAGATGGGTAAAGAGATGGAGACCGGCTTGGCCAACATGGTGAAACCCTGTCTCTACTGAAAATACAAAAATCAGCCAGATATGGTGGTGCGCACCTGTAGTTCCAGCTACTCGGGAAGCTGACGTGGGACAATTGCTTCAACCCGGGAGGCAGAGGTTGCAGTGAGCCAGGATTGTGCCACTGCACTCCAGTCTGGCAACAGAGGGAGACTCCCTCTCAAAAAAGAAAAAAAGTCTGCTCATCTGGCTCTCTGGGCATTCCCTTCATACCTCTCCTGTAGAATTTATTACACTGTATTATAGGTGTTTTTTCTTAATAGGCAATTCCTTAAAGGCAAGGACTGTGTCTTTTCTTGCCCTCAGAAGTACCTACTGTATGTTAGATACCTAATACTTCCTTGAAAATAAACAGTAAGTTGTCTCAACCTTAAATTTGGGGTGGGAGGGCAGGTTGGTTCTAGATTATCTCACATTGAAAACAACGAGGTTGGGTGCAGTGGCTCATGCCTGTAATCCCAGCACTTTGGGAAGGCAAGACAGGCAGATTGCATGAGGCCAGGAGTTCAAGACTGGCCTGGGAAACATGGTGAAACCCCATCTCTACAAAGAATACAAAATACAAAAATTACAGAATACAAAAATTTGCAGGCATGGTGGCACATACCTGTAGTTCCAGCTACTAGGGAGGCTGAAGTGAGAGGATCACTTGAGTCTTAAAAAAAAAAGTGGTAGTATCTCCCTTCTGAGATTAGGTTGATAGACCATGGCTGTCCTGGTGGTCTCTTTTGGGTCCCTCACTCTGGGGGAAGAAGTCCTGTGTGAGCGGCCCCCTGGAGATGCCCACATAGCAAGGAACTGAAGCCTGCCCACAGCAACGAGAGGAAGCTTAGAGGTGGCCTCAGGTCCCAGCCAAGTCTTCAGAGCTGGCCACTCTGGCCAACAGCTTGAGTACAACTGCATGCGAGCCTCAAGCGAGAACCACCAGGCTAGGATGCTCCCAATTTATGAGGTCATATATTTGAGGCAGCTGAGTTTTGAGTTCATTTGTAATGGAGCAATAATTAACACAGATGTGTGTATCTGTTAGCAAGGTGCTGCCTTACAAAATCCTGTGCAGGAGTGGCTTTGGAATCAGGCAGTGGGCTTTGAGGAGAGTGCTGGTGAAAGCCCACAGTGCCTTCAAATTGTGGGTAAAAGCCTCACAGTTGGAGTCGGGCATGGTGGTGCACACCTGTAGTCCCAGCTACGTAGGAGGCTAAGGCAGGAGGATTGCTTGGGCCCAGGAATTTGAGGACCAGTCTGGGCAACATAGCAAGAACCCTACCTCTAAAAAAGTTTTTGGCCAGGCGTGGTGGCTCATGCCTGTAATCCTAGCACTTGGGGAGGCCATTGCAGTCAGATCACCTGAGGGCCCAGAAGTTCAAGAGTAGTCTGGCCAACATGGTGAAACCTCCTCTCTACTAAAAATACAAAAATTAGCCAGGCGTGGTGGCAAGCACCTGTAGTCCCAGCTACTTGGGAGGCTGAGGCACAAGAATCACTTGAACTTGGAATTATTCCTGGAAGCTGGAGAAAGGGAAGTCCTGGTTAGAGGCAGAAAGTTCGGCAACGCTATCACCCAGAGTGATGTGGAAAATGGAAAATACAGCTAATGAATGAGTGATCTAGCTAAGTCTGTTTGCAACTAGAGTGAAAATGTCATTGGTTCCTTCTTGCTGCTTATAATAAAATAAGAGGAATGAAATAAGCTAAAGGAAGAACTGTTGAAACCAGGGATCACCAGTTTGGAAGATTCACAGCTTCTTCAGGTGGCAAATCACTACTCTAACATTTAGAAGTGGCTTCAGTGCAAAGGTTAAATTCAGAACACTCATGAAAATATGATGTAAAGATTAAAGTGAGGGTATAACTACAAAATCCTTTGTTAAAATCTGAGAGAAGTCAAAGGTGGGCCAGGCACAGTGGTTCACACCTGTAATCCTGACACTCTGTGAGGCTGAGGTGGGAGGATTGCTTGAGTGCAGGAGTTCAAGACCAGCATGGGCAAGGTAAGAACCTATTTCTGCAAAAAATAATTGGCCTGGCACAATGGCATGTGCCTGTAGTCCCAGCTGCTTGGGAAGCTAAGGTGGGACTGGGGCTCAGCGACTGAGGATGCTCACTAGCCAAGATCATGTCACTGCACTCCAGCCTGGTCAACAGAACAAGACCTCATTTCTAAAAGAAAAACGAAAAATTGGCTGGGCGCGGTGGCTCAAGCCTGTAATCCCAGCACTTTGGGAGGCGGAGGCGGGTGGATCACGAGGTCAAGAGATCGAGACCATCCTGGTCAACATGGTGAAACCCCATCTCTACTAAAAATACAAAAAATTAGCTGGGCGTGGTGGCGCGTGCCTGTAATCCCAGCTACTCAGGAGGCTGAGGCAGGAGAATTGCCTGAACCCAGGAGGCGGAGGTTGCGGTGAGCCAAGATCGCATCGTTGCACTCCAACCTGGGTAACAAGAGCGAAACTCCCATCTCAAAAAAAAAAAAAAAAAATCAAAGATAATGCCTCAGTATGGTTCACAGAAAAGACAATGTTTAAAAAAACAATTACATCAGCAGTAACCTGGTCAACTTGAACTAAAAGAGACAGTAATTCCCCCACCAAAAAACCACAAAACAGGCCTTCAGACTTGCAAGGTTCTACAGGCGGGAAGCAAGGCGAGAAAAATGCTCTGCTGTAAATCCATGCTACCTTTCATGCAAACGCGTGACTTCTAAGATGAAATCAAGGCCTCCCAGGGTAGTCAAGAGTCTGGAAAGTCACTTCCTGGCATGAGTAGCCCTGGGTGCCAGTGCTCACGCAGCTGGATTTCACAACTGCTTATGGACCAGCAGTGTGTGTACCTTTCATTTGCAGCCTTTCTGAACAGGAGCATCTGGGAATCATGTAACTGTCCCGCCACTGCATGCTGGGTGTTGGGAGGGTGATAACTCGTCTCTAGTTCTCAGCCCTGCAGATCAGGAGGAACTGTGTCTTAAAGCTGTACCTAGGAGATCGATCCAAGATGGCCGACCACTAACAGCTCAGGATTGTAGCTCCCAGTGAAAGCCCAGAGAACGAGACGACGCCACACTTTTAGACAAATTTTCGTCACTCACCGATCAGCCGATTCCCAGTGGAGGAGCCCCACGGGTCGCCAGCGCGACTCTTGTGGTCGCCACAGCGGTTTTGCCGGCGTCTCGGCGCAGCAGCTCTTCATGCAGAGCCAACGGGACTGCTTCCCCTACTGACCGGAGTTTGGAGCTCCAGGAAGTCAGAGCCGCTTGTTGCGGACTCAAGAGGGAAGCCAGACCAGAGATTCCCGGGCAGAAGAGCACCATCAGTCTTACCGCTGCTATTTAGGCTGCCACAGTGGGTTGCTTGGATCCCAACACTGGGAATCAATAAGTCAGACGTCGACTCAGAAAACTAATTAGAAAGGCGGTTCATCTATAATGAAGGGAAAAAAACAGCCTAAGAAGGCCGAGTATACTCAAGGTCAGAACCCATCAGCAACCGAACAAGCCCTGATGGAAAAGGACTCATCAGTAACGGAACAAGCACTGATGGAAAAGGACTGTGTTCCATTATCTGAAGTAGGCTTTAAAAGGTGGATGATAAGAAACTTCTGGGAGTTAAAGGAACTCGTTCTAACCCAATGTAAAGAAACTAAGAACTTGGAAAAAAGGTTAGATGAAATGTTGAAAAGAATAGACAATATAGAGAGGAATATAAATGAACTTATGGAGTTGAAAAATACAACACGAGAACTTAGTGAAAAATGTACAAGCTTAAACAGCCGAATGGATCAAGCAGAAGAAAGGGTATCAGAGGTCGAAGATCAACTTAATGAAACAAAACAACAAGACAAGAATAGAGAAAAAAGGATAAAAAGGAATGAGCAAAGTCTCCAAGCAATATGGGACTATGTGAAAAGACCTAATATACGCTTGATTGGTGTACCTGAATGTGACGGAGAGAATGAATTCAAGCTGGAAAATACTCTCCAAGACATTATCCAGGAAAATTTTCCTAATTTAGCAAAGCAGGACACTATTCAACCCCAGGCAATACAGAGAACACCACAAAGATATTCCTCAAGAAGACCAACCCCAAGGCACATAATCGTTAGATTCACCAAGATCGAAACGAAGGAGAAAATATTAAGGGCAGCCAGAGAGAAAGATCAAGTTACCCATAAAGGTAAGCCTATTAGGCTTACAGCAGATCTCTCAACGGAAACCCTACAAGCTAGAAGAGAGTGGGGGCCAATATTCAATATACTTAATCAACAGAACTTTCAGCCCAGAATTTCATATCCTGCCAATTTAAGCTTTACATTTGAAGGAAAAATAAAATTTTTTAGGAACAAGCAAGTACTCAGAGATTTTATTACCACAAGCCTGCTTTACAAGAACTTCTAAAAGAAGCACTATACACAGAAA